TGGGTGGTTGAGTGAGTGAGTGGGGTGGGTGGTTGAGTGAGTGAGTGAGTGGGGTGGGTGGTTGAGTGAGTGAGTGAGTGGGGTGAGTGGTTGAGTGGGTGGAGTTGGTGGGTGGTTGAGTGAGTGAGTGGGGTGGGTGGTTGAGTGAGTGAGTGGGGTGGGTGAGTGAGTGAGTGAGGTGGGTGGGTGGTTGAGTGAGTGAGTGGGGTGGGTGGTTGAGTGAGTGAGTGGGGTGGGTGGTTGAGTGAGTGAGTGAGTGGGGTGGGTGGTTGAGTGAGTGGAGTTGGTGGGTGGTTAGGGCATGGCAGCTCGTCATCCCGGCTAAGGGTTGTGGGGTCAGATCTCGGCCACCACCATCACCACCCCACCCACCCACCATCAACACCCCACCCACCGACCCACCGACCCACCACCGGTGATTAACAGCCTCCCGGTTGGCTGCTGCGGCTTTCGAGGTGGTTGCAGTTGGTGGCGGTGGTCGGTGGTGGTGGAAAGAGCGCGCGATGGATCCCCCGAGGATTAAGTTTCGCGTTTTCTGGATCGTGCCCAAAACGCTCCCGCGCCCTCGTACCCGGGAGCGTCGCCTTTTAAAGACGGGGCCAGGCGCGGCCACCCCTCCCCCCACCACGGGACTCGTTTAGCACCAGCGCACCGCCGCGCCGTGCCGATTGGCGCTGTTAGCGAGCGCCTATTAAGGTGCGCCGTGGTGGGTAAAGCGACGTCGCGGGTGTGGGTGGGTGGATTGGTTGATTGGGTGAACGATTGCAATGGGGTTTGGCGGCGGTGCAGATAACGCGATCGGTATGAACCTCTATGCTTGGTATGAACCCCTGTGATCGCTATGCGCCTCTGCAATGGTATGAACCTCTACGATTGCGTAGTGTGTCGAGTGCGTTCAGCTGGCGAAGGGCGAAGATCAGAATATTTATTTAGAGCTGTCCACAAAGCGGTACTGATTTTTATCGACCCCAGCGCGATGATGATGGGCTGGCTTCAACTCGCCTAACCAGGATTCGAACTCTCACCAAATCGAGTGATCCTGATCAGAATATTTTAGACTATTGTCATACTGGAGGCGGACTCCGATGAGCTCCAAAGCTCTTTCATTCACGGATGTCCAGCAAAGGGGTGTCAGAACGTGACAACAACAAACACGAAATACAAAAACACGTTCGGAGTTGCAAAGTTACAGAGACGTAAAACAATTCACTTCCAGAAAATCTTTACAAATTAAACAAAGCGACGCTTTGTTATCATCTCACCAGTTAAAGGCCCCACAGAGCTACACAGCGTCTCCATTCAGAAGCGACTACCTGCCCATCACAGACGATAGCAGCTCAAACGAAGTGTGCCTGATCACGTGAAGATGAAGGCGCAGCCCTGCAATTTCCAGCTCGCGTAACACTCGTATATGTTGGTTCTCTGGTGATTCGTTTTATACGTAAACTGTATGACGAATAATGGTAATAAGAATAGGTTTTACCCTTTCTGGCAATAAAACAGGTGTTAAGATGTTTAAACACCAAATAGAAAGCTGTCTCCGGTGTAGGGAGATCAGTTTAAAAGACAATAAATATATTATCAGAGCATGTTGTGTTTGCATGTTCACCGCAAGTACTGTGTGTGCTTAACACAAACTTGATTCCTTGCTAACGGTATTATCTATTTGATCATCTTAACACACCTCCTATTTGCCAGAAATAATAAACACCGATTCTAATTAGTCATACTTTGATGCTGGCAAAAATGTATCCCATGGTACGTCCAATGTAGTTCGTGGGCAATGCATCTCACAATCGTTGACAAGGAGGGGACATCGCAAGAAAGGCGGCAAAGAGCCCGGCGGCTACCAACATTTGCTCTGCAGTCCCTTACTTATTAAGGTGTTTTCAGCCAACTCGTGGAGTGGGTTATTAGTGTTGTAGTTGTTGTTATATGATTAGTATTATAACGTGTGGGAGAGAAACTGGAAGCTATCGAAGTAAGACACAAATTTTATTTTGTTTTTATTTTACCATCTCAGTGTCTCTGACACCGCCATTACGAACCACCCTAAGGGACACACGAAACAAAGAGAAAGACAAAGATCCCCGTATAGCATTAACATACTGTAGGGGCAAGTGCAGTTAGCGAGCAGCTATGAAGTCTGGCACGGCACACGAGGCGGTGGGTGGCCAGCACCACGCCCCACCACCTTTGTCTCACCAGTGGAGATGTTTACTGCACACTGCACTCGGTACTCATTGGAGGTTGAGTCTACCTAGGCGAGGCCCGGGACCGGTTCAGAAAAGTGGCACTGGCACTGGTGTTGACTATAAGGGACACACACGCAGACACCCAGACCCAGGGCTTAGACCCAGCATCTCAGTGTCTCTGACATGGCCATTATGAACTCCCTAATGGCCACACACACAGACACCCAGACCCAGGGCTTAGACCCAACATCTCAGTGTCTCTGACATGGCCATCATGAACTCCCTAATGGCCACACACACAGACACCCAGACCCAGGGCTTAGACCCAACATCTCAGTGTCTCTGACATGGCCATCATGAACTCCCTAATGGACACACACGCAGACACCCAGACCCAGGGCTTAGATCCAGCATCTCAGTGTCTCTGACATGGCCATTATGAACTCCCTAATGGCCACACACGCAGACACCCAGACCCAGGGCTTAGACCCAACATTTCAGTGTCTCTGACATGGCCATTATGAACTCCCTAATGGGCACACACACAGACACCCAGACCCAGGGCTTAGACCCAGCATCTCAGTGTCTCTGACATGGCCATTATGAACTCCCTAATGGCCACACACACAGACACCCAGACCCAGGGCTTAGACCCAACATCTCAGTGTCTCTGACATGGCTATTATGAACTCCCTAATGGACACACACGCAGACACCCAGACCCAGGGCTTAGACCCAACATCTCAGTGTCTCTGACATGGCCATTATGAACTCCCTAATGGCCACACACACACAGACACCCAGACCCAGGGCTTAGACCCAACATCTCAGTGTCTCTGACATGGCCATTATGAACTCCCTAATGGGCACACACACAGACACCCAGACCCAGGGCTTAGACCCAGCATCTCAGTGTCTCTGACATGGCCATTATGAACTCCCTAATGGGCACACACACAGACACCCAGACCCAGGGCTTAGACCCAGCATCTCAGTGTCTCTGACATGGCCATTATGAACTCCCTAATGGGCACACACGCAGACACCCAGACCCAGGGCTTAGACCCAACATCTCAGTGTCTCTGACATGGCCATTATGAACTCCCTAATGGCCACACACACAGACACCCAGACCCAGGGCTTAGACCCAACATCTCAGTGTCTCTGACATGGCCATTATGAACTCCCTAATGGGCACACACACAGACACCCAGACCCAGGGCTTAGACCCAGCATCTCAGTGTCTCTGACATGGCCATTATGAACTCCCTAATGGGCACACACGCAGACACCCAGACCCAGGGCTTAGACCCAACATCTCAGTGTCTCTGACATGGCCATTATGAACTCCCTAATGGCCACACACAGAGACACCCAGACCCAGGGCTTAGACCCAGCATCTTAGTGTCTCTGACATGGCCATTATGAACCCACTGAGGGATACTAAAACGTCTGAACTATTTTTATTTTGCCAGGGAAGTCCCTATTGAGCTGTGTAGTAGATAGTTTTCAAATGCTAACCCTGCCTATCACAAGTGATAGCCTCAACGAAGACGGCTTATCATCATCATCCTCGTGTGTAAATTTAAAGCAGTAGCCAAATTCCCCCTAAACGCGTGATCATATTGATTCTAAATGTGGAGGGGGAAAATACCGGAAGAGCCGGAGAAAATCCCACGCGACCACGGAGAGAGATAGAGAGAGACACACAAACTCCAAATATACAACAGCAGGCATCGTCAGGGTGGGAATTGAACCCACGACCTCCTGTATACCAGGCGAGGTAGTTAACATCTCCTAGCCACCGTGGCACCCATCATACAGAAGGGGCAGATAATATCAGTTCACACTTTGCTGTACTCTACCGCATCCTCCTGGCAGAGTCTGGCAGAGCCAGGCGAATTACGTCATCTGCCTCGACGCCCACGGGAGATGAGTTTGGCAAAGTCTCCGTGTGACCCACCGCCGCTCTCGCTGCTGCTGTCGCTGCTGCTGATGCGTCCGCGGTGCTGCACGGATTACAGGGGCAGCCGCGGCAGCAGCCTGGCCAGTAGCCAGAGGGAGCTCTGGATAATCCATCTGGGGCATTCGTTGGCAATCCACCCGGAGATGATGATGATGATGCACCACACCAACCACCACCAACCACCACCACCAACCACCACAACCACCACCAGAAAGCAACGACTCAACAACCAATCACCGGGACGGACTCAGCCCCGTGACATCCGACAGACGCACCCAGCACTAGCGCCATCTACTGGTAGATGTTATTATTTTAAACTTGATTTGGAGCTTTCGTGGCTGCAGGAATTACTCTTTGGTTCTTTCGGTAAAGTCAATTTTGGATCACGGGAAGTAGGTTAAAAAACGACCGAAAGATTTGCACGGTCGAAAGCAAGCAAGCAAGCACGCAAGCACGCAAGCAAGCAAGCAAGCGAACTTAATATAAAGGATTTAAAAATAAACACATAAACAACACGTAACAACATTACGTCATGCAGGAACGCGTAATAAATTAGCTATTTTAAAATAACGGTGATGTCTTGATTATCCGGAGTTTTTAGAAACTTGGCATCCTCTTCCCCCCCCCCCAAGCCGCTGGATAATCGATGGTGATCGATGATGATCGATGGTGATCGATCATGATCGATGAGTATCGATGGTGATTGATGATGAAGGATGGTAATCAATGGTAACCGATTTTTATCGATGGTGATCGGTGATGATCGATGGTGATCGATAATATAATCGATGATGATCGATGACCTTCTGTCACTCTGTGTCCAACTCCTCCACCCGCAGCTGCGCCAGCCCCAGCCCCTCCTGCTGCTGCTCCTCCTGCTGCTGCAGCTCCTCCTGCTGCAGAGGCACCTGCCCTGGAGCGCACAGACACCCCTGGTGAGCTTACAGCAGCCACTCACTCACCACTCACTCACTCACCACTCACTCACTCACCACTCACTCACTCACCACTCACTCACTCACTCACCACTCACTCACTCACCCACTCACCTCTCACTCACCACTCACCACTCACTCACCCACTCACTCACCACTCACTCACTCACTCACCACTCACTCACTCACCACTCACTCATTCACCCACCACTCACTCACTCACTCACCCACTCACTCACTCACCACTCACTCACCACTCACTCACTCACCACTCACTCACCCACTCACTCACCACTCACTCACCACTCACTCACTCACTCACCCACTCACCACTCACTCACCACTCACCACTCACTCACCCACTCACTCACCACTCACTCACCACTCACTCACTCACCACTCACTCATTCACCCACCACTCACTCACTCACTCACCACTCACTCACCACTCACTCACCACTCACTCACCACTCACTCACCACTCACTCACCACTCACACACTCACCACTCACTCACCACTCACTCACCACTCACTCACTCACCACTCACTCATCACCACTCACTTACTCACTCACCACTCACTCACTCACCCACTCACCTCTCACTCACCACTCACCACTCACTCACCCACTCACTCACCACTCACTCACTCACCACTCACTCACTCACCACTCACTCACTCACCCACCACTCACTCACTCACTCACCCACTCACCCACTCACTCACTCACCACTCACTCACCACTCACTCACTCACCACTCACTCACCCACTCACTCACTCACCACTCACTCACCACTCACTCACTCACCCACTCACCACTCACTCACCACTCACCACTCACTCACTCACTCACCACTCACTCACTCACCACTCACTCACTCACCACTCACTCATTCACCCACCACTCACTCACTCACCCACTCACTCACTCACCACTCACTCACCACTCACTCACTCACCACTCACTCACCCACTCACTCACTCACCACTCACTCACCACTCACTCACTCACCACTCACTCACTCACCCACTCACTCACTCACCACTCACTCACCATTCACTCACTCACTCACCCACTCACTCACCACTCACTCACTCACCACTCACTCACTCATTCACCCACCACTCACCACTCACTCACTCACTCACCCACTCACTCACCACTCACTCACTCACTCACCCACTCACTCACCACTCACTCACCATTCACTCACCACTCACTCACTCACCCACTCACTCACCCACTCACTCACCCACCACTCACTCACTCACTCACCCACTCACTCACCCACTCACTCACCACTCACTCACCATTCACTCACCACTCACTCACTCACCATTCACTCACCACTCACTCACCACTCACCACTCACTCACCACTCACTCACCACTTACTCACCCACGCCACAGATACATACCTGTGGGACACGTGGGGTTTAGGGTAGAGGGTTCGATCCCGACCTTGACGCCTGCTGCTGTGTATTTGGAGTTTGCGTGTCTCTCTCTCATCATCATCACGGTGGCTATGAGATGTTAACTACCTCGCCTGGTACGCAGGACGTCGTGGGTTCGATCCCGACCCTGACGCCTGCTGCTGCTGCTGTATATTTGGAGTTTGCGTGTCTCTCTCCTCGTGGTCGCGTGGATTTTTCTCCGGATCCTCCGCTTTCCCCCTCCACAATTAGACTCGACATCACCACGCGATCGGAGCATTTGGGCTGCTGCCGCTGATGATGATGCTGATGATGATGAGGCCACCTTGCTTGAGGCTATCATTGGACTAGTCAGGGTCGCTTCTAAAAAAGAGCTACAGCATAGCTCAGTGGGGCCTTAAACCCGATTTAAAAAACAATCACAATCGTTCAAATGTACCCGCCTATCAATTCCAATGGTAATATAACAAACTCGTCTTGTGATTCAATCTTGATTTGAAGCTTTCGTGACTACAGGGATCCATACTCTGTGGTTCGTTTGGTAAAGTCACGTGGGTATAAAATAAATCACGACGTTTCGGGCGTAAAGCAAGCGTCCATCATCAGGTGGGCAAGAGTTTAGTCACGTGGTTTTGTTCTAGTTTCTATTCGGATTTTCCTCGCCTTTCTCTCTTTCTTTCTCTCCGGGTTCTCCGGTTTTTCCCTCCACATTTCGAATCAACATCACCACGCCTTCAGAGTATTTGGGCTGCTGTTATGAATTTCCAAACAGCGACGACGATGATGATGACGACGATGACGATGATGTTGATGATGATGTTGTTGATGATGATGATGACAAGACGATGATGATGATGTTGATTATGTTGATGATGATGATAAGCCCACTTCGTTGAGGCTGTTACTTTTGATGGCCAGGCCGCTTCTAGGAAAGAAAAAAAGGAACGACTACCCCCCCCCCCCCCCGCGTGCCATCTCGGCCTTGAAAATAAACATTGTACTCATACTCTTTCGGTAAAGTCACGTAGGTATAAAATACAATAAATTAAATCACGACGTTTCGATTGCAACACAAGCAATCATCATCAGGTGGGAAAACCACAGCAAGACAAATTTTCTTTGCTGAAGTGATAGAGAGATGCCGTGGTAAGAGGCTATATAGGCAAGAGAGGGGGGAGGGGAGAGCGAGGGGGGTAGGATAGCGAAAACTAAAAATCTAGATTAAACATTGTACTCGATTGAATGTACCCAACTTCCAATGGCAATTTGCGAGTCGCGATGTCAGCGTGTGAGCATGTGAGCTTGTCAGTGTGTGAGCTTGCGAGCGTGTCAGTGTGTGAGCTTGTGAGCGTGTCAGTGTGTGAGCGTGTGAGCGTGTCAGTGTGTGAGCGTGTGAGCGTGTGAGCTTGTCAGTGTGTGAGCTTGTGAGCGTGTCAGTGTGTGAGCGTGTGAGCTTGTCAGTGTGTGAGCTTGTGAGCGTGTCAGTGTGTGAGCGTGTGAGCGTGTGAGCTTGTGAGCGTGTCAGTGTGTGAGCGTGTCAGTGTGTGAGCGTGTCAGTGTGTGAGCGTGTCAGTGTGTGAGCGTGTCAGTGTGTGAGCTTGTGAGCGGGTCAGTGTGTGAGCGTGTCAGTGTGTGAGCGTGTCAGTGTGTGAGCTTGTGAGCGGGTCAGTGTGTGAGCGTGTCAGTGTGTGAGCGTGTCAGTGTGTGAGCGTGTGAGCGTATCCTCTCATTGCAGGGTCCACTGATGGCTCCAAGCCGCTTGCCCTGCAGAGGACGGACACTCCCGGTGAGTCACGGACACCCGCAGAATCCACTCGACGATTTTAGCCGCGATGAGAATCGAGTCGGTTGAACACGCGGTCGGGCTGTCATCCAGCCGACGCGGGCAATGAGTAAGGGTTGTCACGCGACAGCAAATCCACAACTTTTACAACCATTGAAGCCTCATGAAGGTGGTGGTGATTACTGGCGAAACGTCGTACTCTGATTGTAAATGTTGTGGATTTGCTCTACACTATACACTACATTATACACTACACTATATACTACTATACACTACACTATACACTACACTATACACTACTATACACTACACTATACACTACACCAGGGGTTCTCAAACTTTTTAAACAGGGGGCCAGTTCACTGTCCCTCAGACCGTTGGAGGGCCGGACGATAGTTAAAAAAAAAACGATGAACAAATTCTTATGCACACTGCATATATCTTATTTTGAAGTGAAGAAACAAAACGGGTACAAATACAATATTTAAAATGAAGAACAAGTAAAGTTAAATCAACAAACTTGCCAGTATTTCAATGGGAACTATGGGCCTGCTTTTGGCTAATGAGATAGTCAATGTCCGGTTCCATATTTGTCACTGCTAGTCGTAACAAGTGATGCAAGTGTGCATCCGTTAGTCTAGATCTGGTTGGAGATTTTAAATGTTTAATTCTGGAAAAAGTCTGTTCACAGACATAAGTGCTGCCAAAGATGGTTGTGGCTGAGATGAGGATATGTCTCAGAGGGGAGAGATGCATAGAAATTATGAAGGCTGCTTGACATGAATGCGTCTTTCAGAGAGTCACAATTCTGCAGTTCAGCCAGTTCCATTTGGTAAATTGTATCCACATTTTCAATGTCAATAGAAAATGGATTACGGAAAAGCTGTATGTCCTGTTCATGGAGATGAAGCTCTTTAAATCCAAATTGGAACTCCTTTTGCAATTTTTCCAGTGAATCCACACATGTTTTGTTTGGGAATGCAACCAATGGGTTTTCCGCTAACAGATTTTGAGTTGTGGGGAGATGGCAGAAGTTTTCCTCCTTCACTTGTTTGATGAGGAGGCCTAATTTTACTTCAAATGCTTTGACATGTGATTGCATATCACAGATGAGCTTCCCCTTTCCTTGAAGTTGCACATTGAAACTGTTGAGTAGCTCTGTTACATCTGTCAGAAAGGCAATGTGCCATTTTTATTCTGCATCATTGAGCATATGTAGTAGTACTAATCACATTCCTGCATTTCCCATAAATATGCTAAATTCCTCTTGATATGCAAATTATTTTGTCAAGGCGTTCTTTCCCCCGTTTCCAACCCAGCTTATATATGCTCCAAGCTCGTGTGCTGTTTCATTCAGACGCTGTCTCCCCGACAGACCTGGTTTTCACCTGAGGACGGCTGCTTGTGTTGTGGCCGAAACGTCGTGAGAATTATTTTATTATGTTTTATTATTTTATTATTTGCCTTCTATGTGACTTTACCGAAAAAACCAAGAAGATGAATCCCTGCAGTCACGAAAGCTTTAAATCGAAAGATATCCTCTCCTGTAGATGTTCCTTTGATGCTTTGCAGTGCAGCAAGCTCTTCTGTGACTTCGAAATAGTCATTCGTCCCACGAATAAAAATTAGAAGTTGTGCAGAATCACGAACATTATTGCTTTCGTCGAGTGCCAAGGAAAAATAGGAAAGTTTTTTTGTGGAGTTTTGCAAATGCTGATGCAAATTGTCTCCCATTTCTTCAATCCTCCGTGTAATTGTAGGTCCTGAAAGACTCACTGTACTAAATAAATCGGCCTTCTCTGGACACATCTCTTTGGCAACAGAAAGAAGGCATTCTTTAATAAATTCTCCCTCCACGAATGGTCTGCCAGTGCACGCTATTAGCTTGGCAACTTGAAAACTTGCTCGCAGTGATGAAATATTTAGCTGCTTCTGCTTCACAAAAGTATTTTGCTGAGTTGTTAATGTATTTTTCAGTTTTAATATTTTATCTTTTCTTACTTCTCCGACCAAACAATCATATTTATCTTTATGTTGAGTTTCATAGTGTCGACGTAAATTGTATTCTTTGAACACAAACACTATATTCTGGCATATCAGACACACAGCTCTTTCCTTGTACTGCTTGAAGAAGTAATCATAAGTCCACTGTTATTTGAATATCCTACACTCCGAGTCAATTTTTCTCTTTCTTGACATCATTGTTTCCTAGGGAGTCAAAATTGCTATTAGTAAAATACCAATATATATAGTGCTACAAAAACAATATACCAGCAATAACTTTGCCCACACAGAGACATACAGACTGCACTGCCCATCAATGCAGTCGGATTGGGGGAACTCCGCCCCCTCTCCCTCTTCCACCAATGACCGTCCTTCTCATGTAGAAAAAAAGTAACAGACAGGCAGCGGCGGCAAAAACACCCGGCGGGCCGGATAAATGTCCTCGGCGGGCCGCATGTGGCCCGCGGGCCGTAGTTTGAGGACCCCTGCACTACACTATACACTACTATACACTACACTATACACTAATATACACTACACTATACACTACTATACACTACACTATACACACTACACTACTATACACTACACTATACACTACACTATACACTACACTATACACTACACTATACACTATACAATATACTACACTATACACTACACTATACACTACTATACACTACACTATACATTACACTATACACTACACTATACACTACTATACACTACACTATACACTACACTATACACTACACTATACACATTACACTACTATACACTACACTATATACTACACTATACACTACACTATACACTACACTACTATACACTACACTATACACTACTATACACTACACTATACACTACACTATACACTACACTACTATACACTACACTATACACTACACTACTATACACTACACTATATACTACACTATACACTACACTATTCACTAGTGCTGTACTGGTGACGAATTGGCCACATTCTGTTTACGTGACAATCCTTACGAGTTGGCTGTGTTGGGTGGTGGCGGATTTAACGACACATTTATATATCCGCGATCTAACCCCCAACAAAATCTACGTTATGGAAAATCGATTATTTTTATTTTAACAAAAAAAATCGATTTTACCCCTCAACGATTGCATTTCCAATTACACTATCAACATCGTAGTCGATAGCAACAACAACGACAACTTACATTGGGAAATCTCTCAAATTGATCTGAAAGCCCTTCGCGCGTTAAGAAAACGGCTCCAGGGGAAGTGGATATCACAGGGCCACTGCTGAGTTCCCCTTCTTGTTCAAGTGGCGCTCGCGTGCACACAGAGAGGCCCGCGGAAGTGGACATCACAGAGCCGCTGCCGTGTGTGTGCGGAGTGGCGGTGTAGCAGCGGTTTGCACCACTGCGCTGCGAGCCCGGCGACCCGAGTTCGATTCACGGCCAACACTGGTGACAATTATCTGAACCTGTCATGGGCCTCTCCCCTAGGTCGACTTAACCTAAAATGAGTACCTTGATGTGGTGTACAAACATCGCTGCCCCACCCCACCCCCCCGTGTGCCATCTCGGCCTTCATTAAGTGGCCCTACTCGCCAACAGCACTTGCCCCGACAGTCTGTTGAGGCCACCCGGGGGACCTTTGTCTGTGTGTGGTTGCAGACATGACGGAGCCCACGACGGGACCTCACGTGGAGGAGAACAAACCCAGCACGGGCATCTTCCTCGAGGTGCCCAAGACGGGCAGCGTGGCCGTGGGTGAGGCCCCCCCCTCCCACCCTCCCACCCACTCTCACCCTCCCACTCTCACCCTCCCACCTCTCACCCCCTCCCACTCTCACCCCCTCCCACTCTCACCCTACCACCCTCACCCCCTCCCCCCATCCCCCCCACACCCCTCCCCATCCCCCCCTCCCCCCATCCCCCCCTCCACTCACACCTTCCCCCCCCCTCCATCTCCCCATCCCCCCCTCCCTCACCCCCCCCGCCCCCCTTCCCATTCTCCCCCCATACCACCCTACCCCCCTCCCACCCCCCCTCCTCTCTCCCTTTGCACCCACCCCCCTCCTACCCCCCACCTCGCACCCTCCCCTCCCTCTCCAACCCTGCCAACCCCCCCCCTCCCCCCATCCCCCCCTCCCCCATCCCCCCCATCCCCCCACCCCCCCTCCCTTCATCCCCCCTCCCCCCATCCCTCTCCCCCTCCCACACCTCCCCCCTCCCGCCCTCGCCTCACAACCCCCTCCCACCCCCACCATGTGGCACCACGAGCGTCTGTGCTCTCGTCTGCGTTGCAGGAGCCGACACCCTCTTCGTGGCCAAGGTGTCTGGAGAAGGAGTCGGGAAGAAGCCGGTGGTGAAGTGGTTCAAGGTTGGTTCTGACGCTCAGGGGTGGGGGGAGGGGGGGCGAGGGGGAGGGGGTGGAGAGTTTGGGCACTGGGAACGGACATCTCTGAAGTTTGTGGAATCAATGTCTATTGGGACTCAACTCAAAGGGAGACCATCGTTTAGATTGAGATCAGCCCCAGGAGACCGGGTGTCAGGATCAGAGTCTTGGGACTTGGAACCAGGAGAACGGGTGTCAGGATCAGAGTCCTGAGACTTGGAACCAGCAGACCTGGTGTCATGATCAGAGTCCTGAGACTTGGAACCAGGAGACCGGGTGTCAGGATCAGAGTCTTGGGACTTGGAACCAGGAGACCGGGTGTCAGGATCAGAGTCTTGAGACTTGGAACCAGCAGACCGGGTGTCAGGATCAGAGTCTTGAGACTTGGAACCAGCAGACCGGGTGTCAGGATCAGAGTCTTGACACTTGGAACCAGCAGACCGGGTGTCAGGATCAGAGTCTTGACACTTGGAACCAGCAGACCGGGTGTCAGGATCAGAGTCTTGACACTTGGAACCAGGAGACCGGGTGTCAGGATCAAAGTCTTGAGACTTGGAACCAGGAGACCGGGTGTCAGGATCAGAGTCCTGAGACTTGGAACCAGCAGACCGGCTTTCAGGATGTAGAGAGGGCACGAGGTTTTCTATCGCCGCTTGTTGAGATGGGGAGGGGGGAAGACGATGAATCGAAGGCCCCTTTGTCCGCAACTCATCGGAGGCACTCGCCCCCCTGGCGTTGTGGTGGCGGTGGTGGTGGCACAGGGGAAGTGGCTGGACCTGGCGAGCAAGGCCGGGAAGCACCTCCAGTTCAAGGAGAACTACGACAGGAACACAAAGGTGAGAGATGCAGCTCCACCAGTCAGCTCCACCACTCAGCTCCACCACTCAGCTCCACCTCCACCACTCAGCTCCATCTCCACCACTCAGCTCCACCTCTCAGCTCCATCTCCACCACTCAGCTCCACCACTCAGCTCCATCTCCACCACTCAGCTCCACCACTCAGCTCCATCTCCACCACTCAGCTCCACCACTCAGCTCCACCTCCACCACTCAGCTCCACCACTCAGCTCCACCTCCACCACTCAGTTCCACCACTCAGCTCCATCTCCACCACTCAGCTCCATCTCCACCACTCAGCTCCACCTCCACCACTCAGCTCCACCTCTCAGCTCCACCTCCATCTCTCAGCTCCACCACTCAGCTCCATCTCCACTACTCAGCTCCATCCTCACCACTCAGCTCCACCACTCAGCTCCACCTCCACCACTCAGCTCCATCATTCAGTTCTACCACTCAGCTCCATCCCCACCACTCAGCTCCATTTCACTCAGCTCCATCCCCACCACTCAGCTCCACCACTCAGTTCCATCCCCACCACTCAGCTCCACCTCCACCACTCAGCTCCATCCCCACCACTCAGCTCCATTTCACTCAGCTCCATCCCCACCACTCAGCTCCATCTCCACCACTCAGCTCCATTTCACTCAGCTCCACCTCCACCACTCAGCTCCACCTCCACCACTCAGCTCCATCATTCAGTTCTACCACTCAGCTCCATCCCCACCACTCAGCTCCATTTCACTCAGCTCCATCCCCACCACTCAGCTCCACCACTCAGTTCCATCCCCACCACTCAGCTCCACCTCCACCACTCAGCTCCATTTCACTCAGCTCCACCTCCACCACTCAGCTCCACCTCCACCACTCAGCTCCATCATTCAGTTCTACCACTCAGCTCCATCCCCACCACTCAGCTCCATTTCACTCAGCTCCATCCCCACCACTCAGCTCCACCACTCAGTTCCATCCCCACCACTCAGCTCCACCTCCACCACTCAGCTCCATCCCCACCACTCAGCTCCATTTCACTCAGCTCCATCTCCACCACTCAGCTCCATCCCCACCACTCAGCTCCATTTCACTCAGCTCCATCTCCACCACTCAGCTCCATCCCCACCACTCAGCTCCACCACTCAGTTCCATCCCCACCACTCAGCTCCATCTCCACCACTCAGCTCCACCACTCAGCTCTACCACTCAGCTCCATTTCACTCAGCTCCATCTCCACCACTCAGCTCCATTTCACTCAGCTCCACCTCCACCACTCAGCTCCATCTCCACCACTCAGCTCTACCACTCAGCTCCATTTCACTCAGCTCCATCTCCACCACTCAGCTCCATTTCACTCAGCTCCACCTCCACCACTCAGCTCCATCTCCACCACTCAGCTCTACCACTCAGCTCCATTTCACTCAGCTCCATCTCCACCACTCAGCTCCATTTCACTCAGCTCCACCTCCACCACTCAGCTCCATCTCCACCACTCAGCTCTACCACTCAGCTCCATTTCACTCAGCTCCATCTCCACCACTCAGCTCCATTTCACTCAGCTCCACCTCCACCACTCAGCTCCATCTCCACCACTCAGCTCTACCACTCAGCTCCATTTCACTCAGCTCCATCTCCACCACTCAGCTCCATTTCACTCAGCTCCACCTCCACCACTCAGCTCCACCTCCACCACTCAGCTCCACCACTCAGCTCTACCACTCAGCTCCATTTCACTCAGCTCCACCTCCACCACTCAGCTCCATCTCCACCACTCAGCTCCACCACTCAGTTCCACCACTCAGCTCCATCCCTTTGACCTGTCGGAGGGGAACTCATTCAACGCGGCCGCCCCTCTGCTTGACCCCCCCCCCCCCCCCGTGCCCCAGATCTACTCGTACGAGATGAGAATCATCAAGGCCAAGGAGAGCTACGCGGGCAGCTACCGCTGCGAGGTGTCGGTGCGCGACAAAGCCGACACCGCCTACTTCGACCTCACCGTGGAAGGTGAGCGGCTGGTGGCGATGGTGAGCGGTGGTGAGCGGCGGTGAGCGACGGTGGTGAGCGGCGGGTGGCGGTGGTGAGCGACGGTGGTGAGCGGCGGGTGGCGGTGGTGAGCGACGGTGGTGAGCGGCGGGTGGTGGTGGTGAGCGGTGGTGAGTGGTGGTGAGCGGCGGGTGGCGGTGGTGAGCGACGGTGGTGAGCGGCGGGTGGCGGTGGTGAGCGGTGGTGAGCGGTGGTGAGCGGCGGGTGGCGGTGGTGAGCAGCGGGTGGTGGTGGTGAGCGGTGGTGAGTGGTGGTGAACGGCGGGTGGCGGTGGTGAGCGGTGGTGAGCGGTGGTGAACGGCGGACAGACAGCCCATGGGGGCCAGCAACTCCGCTGTTGTGACGCATCTCACGTTCGCGATGTCTCACTCCTTGTAGCCCCCCCCCCTTCCCGTCTCTCTCCACTTGGAATTAACTTCCTCTGTATGTTGGGCAGCGCTGCTACCCATAGACTCAACACTGTCACCCATAGACTCAACACTGTCACCCAAAGACTCAACACTGTCACCCATAGACTCAACGCTGTCACCCATAGACTCAACACTGTCACCCATAGACTCAACACTACCACCCATATACTCAACACTGTCACCCAAAGACTCAACACTGTCACCCATAGACTCAACACTGTCACCCATAGACTCAACACTGCCACCCATAGACTCAACACTGCCACCCATAGACTCAACACTGCCACCCATAGACTCAACACTGCCACCCATAGACTCAACACTGCCACCCATAGACTCAACACTGTCACCCATAGACTCAACACTACCCATAGACTCAACACTGCTACCCATAGACTCAACACTGCTAGCCATAGACTCAACACTGCTACCCATAGACTCAACACTGCTACCCATAGACTCAACACTGCTAGCCATAGACTCAGCACTGCTACCCATAGACTCAACACTACCACCCATAGACTCAACACTGCCACCCATAGACTCAACACTGCCACCCATATACTCAACACTGCTACCCATAGACTCAACACTACCACCCATAGACTCAACACTACCACCCATAGACTCAACACTGCCACCCATAGACTCAACACTGCTACCCATAGACTCAACACTACCACCCATAGACTCAACACTGCCACCCATAGACTCAACACTGCCACCCATAGACTCAACACTTCCCATAGACTCAAAACTGCTACCAATTGACTCAACACTGCCACCCCTAGACTCATCACTGCTACCCATAGACTCATCACTGCCACCCATAGACTCACCACTGCACCATAGACTCAACACTACACCATTGACTCAACACTGTCACCCATAGACTCAACACTGCACCATAGACTCAACACTACCACCCATAGACTCAACGCTGTCACCCATAGACTCAACACTGCTACCCATAGACTCAACACTGCTAGCCATAGACTCAACACTGCTACCCATAGACTCAACACTGCTACCCATAGACTCAACACTGCTAGCCATAGACTCAGCACTGCTACCCATAGACTCAACACTACCACCCATAGACTCAACACTGCCACCCATAGACTCAACACTGCCACCCATATACTCAACACTGCTACCCATAGACTCAACACTACCACCCATAGACTCAACACTACCACCCATAGACTCAACACTGCCACCCATAGACTCAACACTGCTACCCATAGACTCAACACTACCACCCATAGACTCAACACTGCCACCCATAGACTCAACACTGCCACCCATAGACTCAACACTTCCCATAGACTCAAAACTGCTGCCAATTGACTCAACACTGCCACCCCTAGACTCATCACTGCTACCCATAGACTCATCACTGCCACCCATAGACTCACCACTGCACCATAGACTCAACACTACACCATTGACTCAACACTGCACCATTGACTCAACATTGCACCATAGACTCAACACTGCCACCCATAGACTCAACACTGCTACCCATAGACTCAACACTGCTACCCATAGACTCGACACTGCTACCCATAGACTCAACACTGCTACCCATAGACTCAACACTGCTACCCATAGACTCACACTGCCACCCATAGACTCAACACTGCTACCCATAGACTCAACACTGCTACCCATAGACTCAACACTGCTACCCATAGACTCAAAACTGCTACCCATAGACTCAACACTGCTACCCATAGACTCAACACTGCTACCCATAGACTCAAAACTGCTACCCATAGACTCAACACTACCACCCATAGACTCAACACTGCCACCCATAGACTCAACACTGCCACCCATAGACTCAACACTTCCCATAGACTCAAAACTGCTACCAATTGACTCAACACTGCCACCCCTAGACTCATCACTGCTACCCATAGACTCATCACTGCCACCCGTAGACTCACCACTGCACCATAGACTCAACACTACACCATTGACTCAACACTGTCACCCATAGACTCAACACTGCACCATATCCTCAACACTAACACCCATAGACTCAACGCTGTCACCCATAGACTCAACACTGCTACCCATAGACTCAACACTGCTAGCCATAGACTCAACACTGCTACCCATAGACTCAACACTGCTACCCATAGACTCAACACTGCTAGCCATAGACTCAGCACTGCTACCCATAGACTCAACACTACCACCCATAGACTCAACACTGCCACCCATAGACTCAACACTGTCACCCATAGACTCAACACTGCTACCCATAGACTCAACACTACCACCCATAGACTCAACACTGCCACCCATAGACTCAACACTACCACCCATAGACTCAACACTGCCACCCATAGACTCAACACTGCTACCCATAGACTCAACACTACCACCCATAGACTCAACACTGCCACCCATAGACTCAACACTGCCACCCATAGACTCAACACTTCCCATAGACTCAAAACTGCTGCCAATTGACTCAACACTGCCACCCCTAGACTCATCACTGCTACCCATAGACTCATCACTGCCACCCATAGACTCACCACTGCACCATAGACTCAACACTACACCATTGACTCAACACTGCACCATTGACTCAACACTGCACCATAGACTCAACACTGCCACCCATAGACTCAACACTGCTACCCATAGACTCAACACTGCTACCCATAGACTCGACACTGCTACCCATAGACTCAACACTGCTACCCATAGACTCAACACTGCTACCCATAGACTCACACTGCCACCCATAGACTCAACACTGCTACCCATAGACTCAACACTGCTACCCATAGACTCAACACTGCTACCCATAGACTCAAAACTGCTACCCATAGACTCAACACTGCCACCCATAGACTCAACACTACCACCCATAGACTCAACACTGCACCATAGACTCAACACTGCCATCCATAGACTCAACACTGTCACCCATCGACTGAACACTGCCACCCATAGACTCAACACTGCCACCCATAGACTCAACACTACCACCCATAGACTCAACACTGTCACCCATAGACTCAACACTGCACCATAGACTCAACACTACCACCCATAGACTCAACACTGTCACCCAAATACTCAACACTGTCACCCATAGACTCAACGCTGTCACCCATAGACTCAACACTGCCACCCATAGACTCAACACTGCCACCCATAGACTCAACACTGCTACCCATAGACTCAACACTGCTACCCATAGACTCAACACTACCACCCATAGACTCAACACTGCCACCCATAGACTCAACACTGCCACTCATATACTCAACACTGCTACCCATAGACTCAACACTACCACCCATAGACTCAACACTACCACCCATAGACTCAACACTGCCACCCATAGACTCAACACTGTTACCCATAGACTCAACACTACCACCCATAGACTCAACACTGCCACCCATAGACTCAACACTGCCACCCATAGACTCAACACTTCCCATAGACTCAAAACTGCTGCCAATTGACTCAACACTGCCACCCCTAGACTCATCACTGCTACCCATAGACTCATCACTGCCACCCATAGACTCACCACTGCACCATAGACTCAACACTACACCATTGACTCAACACTGCACCATTGACTCAACACTGCACCATAGACTCAACACTGCCACCCATAGACTCAACACTGCTACCCATAGACTCAACACTGCTACCCATAGACTCGACACTGCTACCCATAGACTCAACACTGCTACCCATAGACTCAACACTGCTACCCATAGACTCAACACTGCTACCCATAGACTCGACACTGCTACCCATAGACTCAACACTGCCACCCATAGACTCAACACTGTTACCCATAGACTCAACACTACCACCCATAGACTCAACACTACCACCCATAGACTCAACACTGCCACCCATAGACTCAACACTGCCACCCATAGACTCAACACTTCCCATAGACTCAAAACTGCTGCCAATTGACTCAACACTGCCACCCCTAGACTCGCAACTGCTACCCATAGACTCAACACTGCTACCCATAGACTCAACACTGCTACCCATAGACTCACACTGCCACCCATAGACTCAACACTGCTACCCATAGACTCAACACTGCTACCCATAGACTCAACACTGCTACCCATAGACTCAAAACTGCTACCCATAGACTCAACACTGCTACCCATAGACTCAACACTGCTACCCATAGACTCAAAACTGCTACCCATAGACTCAACACTACCACCCATAGACTCAACACTGCCACCCATAGACTCAACACTGCCACCCATAGACTCAACACTTCCCATAGACTCAAAACTGCTACCAATTGACTCAACACTGCCACCCCTAGACTCATCACTGCTACCCATAGACTCATCACTGCCACCCGTAGACTCACCACTGCACCATAGACTCAACACTACACCATTGACTCAACACTGTCACCCATAGACTCAACACTGCACCATAGACTCAACACTACCACCCATAGACTCAACGCTGTCACCCATAGACTCAACACTGCTACCCATAGACTCAACACTGCTAGCCATAGACTCA